CACCGCGCCTCGGTTCACGTCCCAGAACTAGGGCTTGGGCCGGCTGAAGCCCCGGCAGGGTCAAGTCTTGCTTCCAGAGGTTACTTTCAAAAATCATCGAATCTGTCAGGCCTGGTATGGGGGAGGGGGCCCTTTTTATTTTCTTAAACAACTTCCTGTTGAGGAGAGGGAATGGGGGAGGGCCTCCTCCCCCCTCCCCCCTCGGCCGCACCCCTTCAGGGAGACTCCCTGGTCCTTTGGAGGCGGAGGTGGGGGGCTCAGGTATGAGAGGGCACTGGGTCTCTGCTCCTAGGACTGGGGCAGGGGCGAGGGGCTCCTGGGGGCCTGAGCGCGGCGTCCTGGCAGTGCCTTCCGGTCTGTGCGCGGGCTGTGATCCTGACCCTTTTCTTTCCCCAGCAGGGCAGCTGGCCTGGAGCTAGAGCCGGGCGCGTGCCATGGCCCCACACTGGGCTGGCTGGCTGCTGGCTGTGGGGCTGTGGGGCCTGGGCTTTGGGGCTGAGATGTGGTGGAACCTGGTGCCCCGCAAGACGGTCTCTTCCGGGGGTGAGTGTCTGAAACCAGAGGAGACAGACCGGCTGGGGAGAGGGGCCAGGAGGGGCTGCTGAGGGGAGACGCTGAGGGGCTGCCCCTTGACTGTGCCCGCTTCACTCTGCTGTCAAGGCCCCCCGAGGCGTGTGACCCAGTTTTGACCCCAGGGACTTAGAACTGATGGTCCGGCCCAGGACCTGGGCTACCCCCTGCCTCTGACGCTCAGGACCGGCAGGCCCCATTCTGCACCCCTCTCCCCGTGCCTGCCTTCTGAGGTTGCCACTCTCACTGAGAGTCCAGCCAGAGAACCCTGAACCAGCGTAAGCTCGCAGCCAAGGCCTGCGACCTGGTGGCCCTGGGTGGGTGTGTGTGCACGTGCTCGTGTGGGCGAACCACGGACCTGACAGCCCTTACTGTGCGCGCACCTGCACCAAGGGGTGATGTCAGGTGTTTGTGTCATCCCCGCGCTCTGGGGACCTGGGGTGAGCTCACCTCCCACAGGCGGCACTCGGGTGCTAATGAAGCCCTTCCTTACCTGACTGGGCCCATCTTTGGTTCCAAAGACTAAGCTGGTTTAGGGGGACCCTGAGGACGGGTCGGCAGCTATTTGGGGGGCCGACACAGGGGTCCTGTGACTATGTGGATGCCGTAGTGCCCTGCCTGGTGAGCGGCAGCACCCTCTCTGGTCCCAGCCTCCGGTCTCCCCTGCCATCCCCGCCTGTTCCGGGGGCCAGCTGTGCTGGTGTGTCGGGCAGCCTGGATTTGTATGAGTGGAGTGGGGGAGGGGGGGTTTCTAAGACAAGGAGCACTCACAACTTCTGTGTGCCCTGCCCCGCGGGGTCAGGGGCGGGGTCTGGCTGGACTCTGATGTGGGCAGTGGGCAGCAGAGCAAAGAAGGAAGAGGCAGCTGTGGAAGCTGGGAAGGAGAATGCCCAGCTCTGCAGCCAGAGGCGCTGCTGGCCTGAGAGTGGGAGCCATAATTCTGATGGCTTCCTCTGGCCGGAAGCTGTGGCTGAGATGTCCTTCCTTCCTCCTCACAGCTCAGATGTGCCTCCTCCCAGGCTTTTCCCAGGGAAAGCAAGGAGGCCCACAGGAGCTGTCAGCCAGGCGGCAACTCAGGAAATGCGCTTTATTGCCCTCAGGGCACTGGGCTGCATTGCTTGTGGGGTTGCTAGCCCTAATGTGGGGAACAAGGACAAGTAGGCCCAGGAGACCATTGCATAGAGCAGCGATTTTTCAACCTTTTCATCTCATGACACACATAAATTAATTACTAAAATTCTGTGGCACACCAAAAACATAGTATTGTATTTTTGGCCAGTCTGACCAAATATATATATATAATTTTTGATTCATTCATACGGGATGGCTACTGTTATATTGCCTGTTGTCATTTTTTTGTATTGGACAATCTAAGGGAAAAGTGGTCAGTGCCCCTGACTAAAATAGTTGGGCATGGTTTTTGTTGTTAATCCTCACCCGAGGATATTTTTCCATTGATTTTTAGGGAGAGTGAAAGAGAGAGGAGAGGGTAAGACAGAGAGAAACATTGATGTGAGAGAAACACATCGATTGGTTGCCTCCTGCATGAGCCCTAACCAGGGCCCGACTAGGGAAGAGCCTGCAACCAAGGAATCGAACCCGGGACCCTTTAGTCTGCAGGCTCAAGCTCTATCTACTGAGCCAAACTGGCTAGGGCAGGTATTGCATATTTTAAAAATCTTATGGCACACTGGTTGAAAATTTCTGGTGTAGAGGAAGACTGATTTGGGGGGGGCCTAAGAAGGCCCACCTATCCACAGCCTTGCTCACTCAGAGGAAGGCTGATTTGGGGGGGGCGGTGCCTGGAGCCCTAAGAAGGCCCACCTATCCACAGCCTTGCTCACTCCCATCTTGTCCCTGCAGAGCTTGCCCCAGTGGTGCGGCGGTTCTCCCAAACGGGCATCCAGGACTTTCTGACGCTGACCCTGACCGAGCAGACCGGGCTCCTGTACGTTGGGGCCCGGGAGACCCTGTTTGCCTTCAGCATGGAGGCTCTGGAGCTGCAAGGAGTGGTGAGAGGTGGGGGAGCGGGAGGCACACAGGCCCGTGACAGGCAGGACCCCAGAGGCTCATGGTCAGGCTGCCCCTTGGGAATTTGCTGGGTCTGCAAGGCCACCGTGGGCAGAGTGCGCGAGTTGTCTTGCCGTCTGCCGCACTCATTAGGTTCTGCTACCATGGGGCCGTGTGGGGCCTATGTCCTCTATGAAGTCAGATCCCAGGGTTGGGGACCATGTACTGTCACTTGGTATTCCTGCGGCTGCCACAGGCCATGCTTGGGCACATGCTCAGTGTACACCTGTGACGTTGCTGAGGTGCCCGTCCTGTCCCCAGATCTCGTGGGCAGCTCCTGTGGAGAAGAAGACCGAGTGTGTCCAGAAAGGGAAGAACAACCAGGTGGGTGCTTGGGACAGACCAAGGGAGCTGGGGGCAGGAGCCTTTGCCTCCCCCTGGCTGGGCCTCATGGCTCACGCACTGCCCAGGGCTTCCTTTTCATTCCTGGTCTGGGTCCTGAACTCCGTCCAGTCTCCCCCATTCTCGGCCCTCTTTTAACTGGACCCCCCATTCTCGGCCCTCCTCTTTTAACTGGATCCCCCATTCTCGGCCCTCCACTTTTAACTGGACCCCCCATTCTCGGGCCCTCTTTTAACTGGATCCCCCATTCTCAGGCCCTCCTCTTTTAACTGGATCCCCCCATTCTTGGGCCCTCTTTTAACTGGAACCCCCATTCTCGGGCCCTCTTTTAACTGGATCCCCCATTCTCAGGCCCTCCTCTTTTAACTGGATCCCCCCATTCTTGGGCCCTCTTTTAACTGGAACCCCCATTCTCGGGCCCTCTTTTAACTGGATCCCCCATTCTCGGGCCCTCCTCTTTTAACTGGACCCCCTATTCTCTTTTAACTGGATCCATTTTTCTCCCCAGACGGAGTGTTTCAACTTCATCCGCTTCCTGCAGCCGTACAACGCATCCCACCTGTATGTGTGTGGCACCTACGCCTTCCAGCCCAAGTGTGCCTACATCGTGAGTGCTGCCCCTCCCTCTGCCCTGCGTGTGCTGCTCTGAACGCTGGGCCTTCTGCACCTCATTCTGTCTCTTCCCTGCCTCAGGACATGGTCACCTTCACCTTGGAGCGTGGAGCCTTTGAGGATGGGAAGGGGAAGTGTCCCTACGACCCGGCTAAGGGCCACACTGGCCTCCTTGTGGGTGAGTGGCCCCCCTGCGGTAGGCTGGGTGTCCCCAGGGCTCATTCCCATCCGGGGCTGTGTGGCCTGCGTGTATGTTCACTGGTCTGGCTGATCCTCTGTCTCCATAGATGGCGAGCTGTACTCGGCCACACTCAACAACTTCCTGGGCACAGAGCCCATCATCCTGCGTAACATGGGGCCCCACCATCCCATGAAGACAGAGTACCTGGCCTTCTGGCTCAACGGTGAGCCCCTAGGAGCTGGAGCTGGCGTGGGCACTGGGGGAGCACTGGGGGGGAGGCATCACTAGGGCCTCGCTAAGTCTCCTCCCCTTCCCGTAGAACCTCATTTTGTCGGCTCTGCCTACGTCCCGGAGAGCGTGGGGAGCCTGACTGGGGACGATGACAAGGTCTACTTCTTCTTCAGCGAGCGGGCCTTGGAGTACAACTGCTACATGGAGCAGGTGGTGGCCCGTGTGGCCCGAGTCTGCAAGGTACAGTCTGTGGCGGTGAGCGCTGGGAGCCCTGCCAGCCGGGCAGGGCTGACTGCCAGTGTCTCCTTGTCATCTGCCAGGGAGACGTGGGGGGCGCACGGACCCTGCAGAAGAAGTGGACCACCTTCCTGAAGGCACACCTGGTGTGCTCGGCCCCCAATCGCCACCTCTACCTCAGCCACCTGCAGGCACTGCACACCCTGCAGGGCACGTCCTGGCACAACACCACCTTCTTTGCGGTTTTTCGGGCACGATGGTGAGCTGGCCGGGAGTCATTGGGGGTGGGGAGAAGCAGGTCTTCAGGTTAGGGGTGGTTTGTGGTGCAGGCCTCTGGGCGGGGCCGGCTGGCCAGTTTTCTGGAAGCCAAGGAGGATGTTGGGCATCTGCTCCCAGTGGGACATGGGTACCAAGCCTGACCCTTGGGGTCCCTCCCTTGCTGTGACAGGGGTGATGTGGACCTGTCAGCAGTCTGTGAGTACCAGTTGGAAGAGATTCAGAGGGTGTTCGAGGGTCCCTACAAGGAGTACCACGAGCAATCCCAGAAGTGGGGCCGCTACACCGACCCAGTACCCAGCCCACGGCCGGGCTCGGTGAGTTGCCCCGGAGGGTGCACTGCTGCCCTCAGCCCCTGTGCTATTCCCACTGACTGACTGCCCTCCCCGCCCCCAATCTCCAGTGCATCAACAACTGGCACCGTCACCACGGCTACACCAGTTCTCTGGAGCTGCCCGACAACACCCTCAACTTCATCAAGAAACACCCCCTATTGGAGGAGCAGGTGAGGCCCCTCTGGGGCCGGCCCCTGCTCGTAAAGAAGGACACCAACTTCACCCACCTGGTGGCTGACCGCGTCACGGGGCTTGATGGAGCCTCCTATACAGTGCTGTTCATTGCCACAGGTAGGCACGTGGCATGCGGGCCTAGCTGCTAGAGGCTGGCTGAGGGCCTGTATGCCTGGATAGGGTGATCTGGGGATGCCCCGGGGCCCTTGGGCTCTCTCGTTGACACCTGTCCTTCCCCAACCCCCTCACAGGAGACGGCTGGCTGCTTAAGGCTGTGAGCCTGGGGCCCTGGGTCCACCTGATCGAGGAGCTGCAGGTGTTTGACCAGGAGCCTGTGAAAAGCCTGGTCCTGTCCCGGAGCAAGGTAATCATCAGGCCCCGCCCGCAGCTCTTCCTCCACCTTCCCTAGTCTGTGCTTGGCCCTTTCGGGGCAGGGGAGGCGCTCCAGGGCCCTCGCTCAGCTGGGGGCGAGCTCCCGGTCAGTCCCAGTGGATCCTGCTCCCCGGAGGCCGTGTACATGGCCAGGTCCCAGCGAGGCTGCGTTCCCCCCAGTCCTGACCCCCATGCCTTCCCCCTTCCCTGAGGTGCACTCGGCACCTTTCCCTTTTCTGGCCTGTTGCCGCACCTAAAGTTTCACATGCTCCCCTTTTACCAACTGTTGTGGCTCAAATTGTTCCCCGGAACATGGAATGATGGTAGAAAGAAAGTCTGGTTGAAGAAACACAGATTAGCAGTCACCATGCAAACAGGAAAACACCTTATGCTCGGCTGGTACTATTGTGAGGGCTGCCGGGCCTTGCGGAAAACATACTTCCTGCACTATTTATACCGCACTGGAGCCGTGTGTGTGTGTGTGTGTGTGTGTGTGTGTGTGTGTGAGATTATACACAGCACCACGGGGCTACTGTTCCTCTCCAGAAAGGTCTCCTTTATAAGGTGCTTAGAATGGTGTCTGGCTTGTAATAAGCCCTCCCTGCGTTCTTTGGTCCTTAGATTTCCATCCTTGGTTCTCCCTTCTCTTGGCCCCTTTTTGCCCTGTGCTGCCCCCAGCAGTCCCAGCTGTGCCCATGCTGTGTCCGGGCCTGGTGGGCCCGCTCCTATGCCCACTGCTTCTCTTGCAGAAGCTGCTGTTTGCAGGTTCCCGCTCACAGCTGGTTCAGCTACCCCTGGCCGACTGCGTGAAGTACCGCTCCTGTGCCGACTGCATCCTCGCTCGGGACCCCTACTGCGCCTGGAGCGTCAACGCCAGCCGCTGTGTGGCCGTGGGCAGCCGCTCCGGGTGAGCGGGCTCTCCTCCTATTGGGACCAGGAGGGGAGGCAGGTGGTGGGAGCAGGGATGCTGATGGACCGTCTTCCCCAACCAGATCCCTGCTGATCCAGCAAGTGACGATCTCCGACACCTCGGGCATCTGCAACTTCCGTGGCAGTAAGAAAGGTGAGCCGCCTTCTGTCCCCCTCCCAGCGGGATGGGCCCGGGGCCAGAGCTGGAGTGTCTGCACTTCCCTTTGGCCCTGGGTTTCCTGCACTGACTCTGCTCCCTCTCCTCTCCCGGCCGCTGCAGTCAGGCTCACGCCCAAGAACATCACGGTGGTGGCAGGCACAGACCTGGTGCTGCCCTGCCGCCTGTCTTCCAACCTGGCCCATGCCCGATGGACCTTTGGGGGCCGGGACCTACCTGTGGAGCAGCCTGGCTCCTTCCTCTATGATGCTCGGCTCCAGGCCCTGGTCGTGATGGCCGCCCAGCCCCGCCACGCCGGGGCCTACCACTGCTTTTCGGAGGAGCAGGGGGCACGGCTGGCTGCCGAAGGCTACCTGGTTGCTGTGGTGGCCGGCTCCTCACTGACCCTGGAGGCCCGGGCCCCCCTGGAAAACCTGGGGCTGGTGTGGCTGGCTGTGGTGGCCCTGGGGGCCGTGTGCCTGGTGCTGCTGCTGCTCGTCTTGTCACTGCGCCGCCGGTTGCGTGAGGAGCTGGAGAAAGGTGCCAAGGCGGCAGAGAGGACCCTGGTGTACCCTCTGGAGCTTCCCAAGGAGCCCACCAGCCCCCCCTTCCGCCCTGGCCCCGAGACTGATGAGAAGCTCTGGGACCCCGTTGGCTACTACTATTCAGATGGCTCCCTCAAGATTGTGCCTGGACACGCCCGGTGCCAGCCGGGGACTGGGCCCCCTTCCCCGCCTCCTGGCATCCCTGGCCAGCCCCTGCCATCCCCAACCCGGCTTCACCTGGGGGGTGGGCGGAACTCAAATGCCAACGGTTATGTGCGCTTACAGCTAGGTGGGGAGGACCACAGCGAGGGGCTTGGGCACCCCTTGCCCGAGCTGGCGGACGAGATGAGGCGCAAACTGCACCAGCGCCAGCCCCTCCCGGACTCCAATCCCGAGGAGTCCTCGGTATGAGGGACCCCCACGTCGGTGGGGCAGCCTGGGGGCCGTGGCTCCTACTTTTGCACAGGCACCAGCTACCTCAGGGACATGGCGTGGGCACCTGCTCTACTGGGACGGATCCTGCCCAGCACCTGCTCGCCCATGAGGACCTGCTCTGCTCAGCACGGGCACTGCCACTTGGTGTGGCTCACCAAGGCACCAGCCGCCACACGGCGTCTTCCTCCTCTCTGTGAGGGGCTGTGAATCACAGACACGGGACCCCAGCAGCCAAACCTTCAGGACAGAAGTTGGAGATATGGGTGTGTTTGTGTATGTGTGTGTGTGCACGTGGGTGTGTTTGTGTGACCATCTTCTGTTTCTGTGGAGTCTTCCCTTGGCCTGGGGTCCTCCTGGTGAGTCATTGGAGCTATGAAGGGGAAGGGGTCGATCACTTTGCTTCTCTTACCCCCACTGTCCCCAGGAGGGGCAGGGATGTACATATGGGGGTGGGCTGGGCAGGGTGCTGTGCCCCTGGGGGAGTGCAGGGCTCTGGGGTGGGCCTCGTCCTGCTTCCAGGGTGGTGAATGTTTTCAGGGTTCAGGGGAGGGAGTGGAACCTCCTGTGTGTTTGGGGGAAGGGAGGGAGGGCCTCCCAGTGGCCCTGGGGTTCCTGGTATTTTATACTTGTCCCCCTGGCAGGGCTGGGAGAGGTGTGGGGGCGGGGGCGAGGGTGGGCATGCTGTGGCTATGGCATATCCTCTCCCAGACCTGGAGGAGGGCTCCTAACAGTGTAACTTATTGTGTCCCCGCGTATTTATTTGTTGTAAATATTTGAGTATTTTTATATTGACAAATAAAATGGAGAAAATGAAGCTGACTGGAATGAGACTTTTTTTTGAAATATATTTTATTGATTTTACAAAGAGGAAAGGAGAGGGATAGAGAGTTAGAAACAT